TCTGTCTTATATTTGTCTGACTTGATATTCTTAGTCATGCTCTATTTCTTTGAGTTGGCTCTCAGCCTTCTCCAATGCGCTTCGCCTATTCGTTCGCTTCCTTCGCTCATTCTTTCGCTGCTTTTCAACTTCGCTATGTGGTGTGTCCAAAATATAAACGTATTCATACTTCGAATTCGCCTTCTGATTTATAAACCGTCAGACGCCATTTAGTAACGATTATCTAGACGAGCTAATTACCGAGCTATCCGAACACGCTGATAAATGGACCCCACACGTACTTTTGATGAGTCTCAGACTTGGATAAAACAGCCGTTCAGAGTTTCCACGTTTCTAATGTCGGTCTAACAATGATCGATTCATGATTTCAATAAAACTCTACAATCTCCATAACCCTGTAATGAAAATAATATCAATGACACATTCATGCTGTCAGCTTTATCTTTTCAGCATAATCACAATGGCGCTGGACTGCTTGAATGTTATGAACTATCGACTATCTTAACAATATATTAATTCAACAAGTTACATCTTTTTGTTTGCATGTTAGTTTTAACACGTCAACGGTGTCTATTGATCAAATAATCTATTCGGTTAGTTATATGTAACGCAGAATCAGGGGGCATCACTTCAAATTGTCACAGTGAGATGTCCGAGTAATAGAAGAGTAGCACAGTATATAATTTAGAAACTTATGACCAGAAGAAACGTAAAGAGTGAATACCTCTAAGCCATTGCAAGATATTCTTAACTGCGCTTCCTTCAGTTGTCCGATGGCAGTATCGTTGCAGATGCTGGTTCTCAGATGGAAACATCTTACTACCATCATAATTTTCTGCAGTTCACAGTGCAACTTCGCCCTTAGATCTTAGGTTCCTGCTTTCAGTCTAACCATTTTCCAACCAATACAACTCGGTTAGGTCATCACGATAGGCAAACTCGACCACACAAATAAGCTTTTCACAACGTTTTCATCATTCATCAAATCACAAGAGCTGATAAGAGACTATGAAAATGTAAGTAACGTGGTTAATGCGCCCAGCGGTTTCATAGGCCTTATAATCAGATGACATACTGAAAAAGACAAGTCATGAGTTCCATTGAAATCATAAACAAATTAATGATAGACCACGGTTAAAAAAACTTGGAAGCGCTAGAAGACCGCTTTGTTCAGCTGGCTCAGTGATCAAGAGATTAAGTGTCTGCATGCAAGACCGGAAGTTCTGGACACGATTCCTTCATGCAAAGCCATGGATGTATACTGCTTGGACGAAACGGCCTTCCAATGCATCCCGACCGTAGCTGCTACCTCGACGTGGTGGTCGGGCTTGCGTATCGTGATGACCCAACCGAGCTATATTGGCTTGAACACATGTTCCTGAAGGTTCTACCATGTCAGGCAGGTCGATTGGAGAACGATCAGACCAAAAACAGCTACTCAAGGTCTGAGGGCGAAGTCGTACTGCTCACTGCAGAGGGGTGTGACAGCAGTAAGGTAGTTTCCATCGGACAACCAGCATCTGCAGCGATGCTGCCTTCTCACAAGGAAGGAAGGAAGGGTTAGAAAAGGTCGACCCTAAAAATGTCACACCTCACCCTACCTCACGGATTTCCGTCTACGTCGGTAAGGGTGCCCATTAAGGGCCTTTAAGAACGGAGCTAATCCTCAAAAAACCTTTCATAAAAAGGCCGTGCGTGTCCGGCCTCAAGCAGTTGTCCCTTGAGCTCTGCGGTCACGCTTCCAGGTCTCTAAGACCAACACTAACCTATCTTCCTTTTCAGGTTCCTCAAGAAACAACCTTCCACGGTTTGGGCAGCCGGGAAGTGACAGCCGCCCTCATACCCGTAACAGCATACGAGACGAAATCGGTCAAAATCAAATCCTTCCTACACCCCTTCCAATGCATATATGCTCCCAATGTAGTGAGTGATCTACTATGGATCAATCCATAATTTCAACGTAAACATTTCACACTCAATTCAATAGTCAATAATTTCCGGTATAAAGTTTTTTTTTACCCCAATTGGCAATTTTACTAATTTTCTACAAATGAAAAATAGGCGACTAGTTCAAAATGTACCAAAAAAAAGCTTATTGTTTTTAACAAACAGAAAATTTAGTTATTCATAGTAATGATAACGATCATGATTATGATCTAACACACCCACACACACACAGAATTTGAATCCAAGTTTCAATGGCTTCTGTGACAAAACGAACGAACAAACAAACAACCAAACAGAAAAACAGTAGCACAATGACACTTTGTTGTTGTGAATTTTTTTCGCTCTCCCATCAGGTCATCTCGTTCGGTGCCTATTGTTTGTGCATTACAGAAAACAAAGAAAACTTATGCATGATATGAGTGGATGGCATGCATATGTACGTAAGTACGTACGTACGTACGTGTACGCTATGCATTACCAACTGGTCCTGTGGATAATTATTATTTGTTTTCTTAGTTAGAAAAAAATGTTAATACAATTTTTTTGTTTCACACGTAACAACAAAAGAAAAACCCACCTAATGACTATCTAATTACCCTTTTTCTTTTCTCTCTCACACAAAAATCAGCGAAAAATATTTATGTCAATAGATTTACCTAAATAATTGCATTATTGGGTTTATTTCAACACATAATTAGGGGTATGAATGAGGGTATCTGAATTATTGGATTTGTAAGTGAGTTAAGTTACTACTGCTGTAGTGAACGAGAACACAGGTGGGGCCACCGAATTATATTTATCTCAAATTACAGAGTTACTCAGTAAAATCGGAAAACCATATCGTAAATCGTTAATTTGCAAAATATCAGTTCATCATATCGAACTGGACTGTTCTTGTTGCAAAACATCAATCCATTGTCACTGTTCATGCGTTTCATACAAATTCCATTGTATTCTAACTCTTCCTCCTTTCTTGATCTTCCCCCATCTTCTGTTGCCAGATATTACGTTTACACTCACGTCACATACTACTTATAAGTAGCTCGTACCACACTACTACTCGGCTGCCCGAATCTAAGCAAAGTGGTTTTTGTTAGGGAGCCTCACTCTTTGAGTGTTTGATTTCAAAGTTGAATTCACAAGGCGATGGAATAACATTCAGAGATGTAATTCTATGGTAATCTTACAGTGATTAACAATGCGTACTGATATCATTTGTTTCTTCAAGATGGTGGTCAGGAACCATCAGCAAACAACGACAGGTTTAAGGTTAACAGTAATCAATCAAGATCGAGGTTAACAGAACAAGCTACGAGTCAAACATGGAGAAATTTGAATACTTCACTTCAGCTATCTGAAGTTTGTGCTGATGATGATGTTAATCAGTAGGAGAACAATGAAAGCTCCACAACCAAAACATCCAGTTCAGAGAACGAAACATCACCACAACCATCAGCACAAACCTACTTTGGCAAAGAACAAACCAGATTCCAGTGTAGGAAAAAATAAGGAAGAAGCGCTGGAAGTGGATAAGATAGACATTGAAGAAATCACCCAACTGCGTCACAAGAGCAGCCTTAACTTGGAACCCTCAAGGTCAAACGAAAAGACGTAAACCAAAGAACACATTACGCCAAGAAATGGAGGCAGACATGAGAAGAATGAACAACACTTGGGCAGAACTAGAAAGAATGGTCCAAGACAGAGTAGGTTGGAGAATGCTGGTCGGCGGCTAACGATCCACTGAGGATAACAGGCGTAAGTAAAAGTAATATAAGCGCATTTAGAAAGGGATAACGAATTTTCTCCATTTTTAGACGTACAAAGGAATTCGCGATCGACTAGTCGCAACATTGATTCTTGATTTTCAAAAGAATTTACTCATGATATATGTAAAATCTGTTTGTTAACATATACAAGACCGTATGCCATAATAACAAAAAGTCACACCATTGAAAAGTGTCAATAAACGAATGAATAAAAAAGTTTAAATATAAAATGGATTTTTGTTGATGACAATTTAAACAGTGAACATTGAGCACAATAGACAATGTTGAATAGTTCAACTAAGTGATTTTATTTTAAAATTGAGGATTGACATAATTCAGTTATCGGCACACCACCTATGATCGAATACTCTAGTAACCTACGAATATCTTCTACTCTACTCTAACTGGCTATATTTCACGCCCGTAAAGTAGGACGGAGCGCATTGACGCGCAGTAAACTTATCGTTTGGTTAGTAGGCGTCTATGCCATAAATGACGCAAGTTGACAAAAACCAATAGAGCCTGAGATTTCGTCAATCACCAAGCCATCAGAGCTGACGAGACTCTCACGATGAGTGATTCGGTCAACACGCTCAACTAATTTACTCCCTATCACCGATGCAAGCCAATCGTGAAGCGACAATTTACATTTGGAGAGGGTGAATCTCATCCCAAACATGCTTGCATTGTTGCCTAGGGTAATCAGGAGACACTGCATTTTGTCAGCGTATTCACCAAGTGAATCTTCGGAATTCCTAAGAAGCCAGACGATGAATTTTTCGCCTCTAGAAAGAGTGGATAGTGGCGAGTATATTATGGTCGTTTCGTCCTTTTTTGGACTCATCAACTGGATATACCTGGATCTTAAGATTCATGTTTACTTCAGGACTGGCGTTTGTGGAGCGAATAGTACCGAGTTCACGTCTTGGAGTGAACATCAACTATCAGATGTGACAGATACATCCAGCTGATCAGTCTCAAAACAGAACGAAAATCACGTCCTGAATCCCATTGCCAGTCACTTTCTATCTCTGTTAACAATTGACACATTGAAATCATGAATCAATCTTTGTCAGACCATCATCATCAGAAACCTGGGAGCACTGAAGCACCGACAGATCCCCAGTGCGCATCCACGACTCATGCTATTCACAGGACTCGAACTCAGGAATTTCGGTTATGCGCGAGAACGCTTAACCTCTAAACCACCAGATCCACTTTACTCTTAAACCTGAATGAAAAACATTCAAATAATCATCAATATAAATGAATCACAAACTATACCTTTAAATTTCTCTGATTCATTTAAACTGTCCAAGATTGTTTTACACATTTTTAAAAATGATTCATTTAAACAAATTTCTTTCATTGTCACATCAACATTCTCATCAGCTTCATTGAGTGCGCAGTTATTGAAAATGATTGTTTTCATTGACTGAACAGTCGAATCATTATGATCTTTTGACGAGGACGACATTGTTGGCGTCCAATTGAAGGTGGTAGTGGTGGTTGTCTGTTGAGGTTTCATTTCATTCTCATCAATTACAATGTGTTTGTTGGATGGAGTAAATACTGGAGGAGAATAATTTACAAATATTTCTTGAAGATAATTCACTACTTCCATTGATCCATAGTTTAAATGATTGAAAATATCTGGTGTAGACGGGGCGGCAGTGGTTGACGAAGTGAAATACAATTGTGATGATGGTATTGTGATTGATAATTGTGCAGCTAAAAGACGTGCATAACTGATGACAAATAGCTGATGTCTAAAATCAAGAAGAAAAATTTAGAGTAAATGAACTGAATTAAGGAATTGAATGTGAATTCAAGGAATACTCAGTACTCGTAGGCTCGATTGGCTTTTGCCAACCTGCGTCACTTATGGCGTAGGCGAGATATCCGTTTGCTGACTAAAGGACGAGTGTACTGTGCAGCAGTTCTCTCCGTCTTACTTTATGGCTGTGAAAGATGGCCACTGAGAGTAGAAGATATTCGTAGGTTACTGGTTTTCGATCATAGGTGTCTTCGAAGCATTGCTCGTATATCGTGGGACACCCGAGTGAGCAACGCTGTTATAAGGAATCGAGTGCTAGGTAAGAATGGCAGATCAATAGATGAAGTAGTGAAACTTCATCAGTTGATGTGGTTGGGACATGTGTTGCGTATGCCAAACCACCGAATGCCTCGACGAGCTATGTTTTACAATGTAGGAGTAGGTTGGAAGAAAGTTAGGGGCGGCCAAACCAAAACATGGCATAAATCCATGAACTCATTCACGAGGGGACTTAGCCATGTCGGTAGTTGTCGACTACCTGGTTGGGGTCCGCGAGATGATAATAATCGATGGTTAGATACACTGAATGTCGTGTCTCAAAACCGTTTGCAATGGCGCCGGTGCATTTATTCTTTGTTTTCTCTCAAATCCTAATCTTCTGGATTCTTCAACACCTCTAAGTTTGTCTTTCTAAACTTATCTCATTGAATCATACTTGTTGAATAATATCTTCTAATCCTAACCTCTCTGATTACTCCTAATACCTTTACTACCTCTTCTACTTTTGGATTTGAATTGACAATTATATCTCTGTGCTGAATTGGTATGGCAACATGAACTAATGTACATACCTACGAAGTTCTACGTTGCATCTGACTGACTGACTCAGTACTCGTCTGGAGTCTGTCCTCCTCGAGTTATCACTGATCTCGATCCTGAATAAAAGAGGAGGATCGGGCACGAAATCGGCAACCCCATTGAGTAAAAAAACAAATTTGCTAGACAGATGTTAACCAAAATAATCATTCAAACCATTTAAAATATATTCTGTGGGTTGGCAGGTCTTTACTGAGAAGAGTTGTGACGCCTTATGATGAAAGCCGAGTTCGGTCGAAAACCAGAACAAAAATTAATATAGGTACATGGAATTTCCATATATTATGGGAGACCGGGAGGACCAAACACGTAGTTGCAGTGATGAAAAGTTAAAACATGAAGGTGCTTGTGTACTAAATACTACTTTTGATGTCGTTTATAAGTCGTATGAAACTGAATATCGCCTAAAATTTACAAGTAATAATCTGCTTGTTTCCAAATGAGCTAGAAAAATACATTGAGATAAAGAAAATTTATAGAGACTATTGACAGTAATAGTATCAGTGGTAGTAAAAAAAACATACAAGGTCCAGAAAATCTAATTTGAAAAGATAAGTGTACAAAATGATTTAAAAAACAATGAAAGCCATCATCGAGAAGATTCAAGCGCTTATTAACAGTTGTCTACACAAAATACTTCGGATCAGTTGGCCAGACACTATCAGCAACAACCTACTATTGGCAGAGAACAAACGAGACTCCTCCAGAATAGGAATAAATTAGGAAGAAACGCTGGAAGTGGTTAGCGAAACCACCCAACTATGTCACAAGACAAATCCTCACTTGGAATCCTTAAGGCCAAAGAACACTACACGGCGAGTATTGGAGACAAACATGAGAAGAATGAAAAACAATTGGACAGCGCTAGAAAGAAAGGCCAAGGACAGAGTCGGTTGGAGAATGCTGGTAGGCGGTTTATGCTCCATTGGAAGTAACAGACGTAAGTAAATTAGTAAGATTTTAAAACTGAGTATATATGAAAGGGAAGACAAAAAGTGAATACCTATGTCATTTAAACCTACTCTGAACCATACTACTTAACATCTTTCGAGAGACTGACACTACAGTTATACTGTATGGACTTCAATTAAGTAGACCATAATTATTAACATGGCCTAGGCTAACAAATAATTATTTCATGAACTGATCCCATCACTTAAGATTGGTCATCTTTAGTTTTCTTTCAACCTATTCTGTCTCCAGGCATTTACTGAAACTACAACGCCAGCAGTTATCGGGTTTGTATAATTGGTAGAAGTTCTAATTACTTCAGTTGTAAGCTTTATCTATCTATCACATTGCATCTAACTTTAGTATCAACCATTCACTGAATTCACGATAAGAAAAGAAATATTTTGAAGAGATCTATGACCAAAAATAAAACTACCAACTCCATAATACTTTAACTTAAAGTTAAAAAATCTAGCTCACTAGTGACTAGCTTCGTGAGGAAATTCTCAAACTTGTAATGAGAAGACGTAAGCAGTGGAGTTCAACCCTGTCGGGTGTAAGCATTAATTACCGGAGGGAAATGGGTGAGACGGCGTAAAATCCCTAGATAGATAGACATAAATACTGGGTTCGCGCGCAAGTAGTAGAAGTCGTGGATGTGCGCTGTGACTGATGAGTCCCATACCAAGACGAAACGGCCGTTTAGTGCCTGTAAATTTCTTACAATGGTCTAGCAATGATTCATTCATGATTTCTAGATAAAACTACCATCTCCATGATACTGTAATGCAAAAATATTAAATAGTCTACAAATATCATGTAAGTTGACTAATCATGTTTCACTAAACTGTAAAAGTACCAATGCGCAAAAGTGTAACAATTCCATGACTACAAACTATTGAAACTGTAAAGTAATATTACAAAATGATTACAAGATCATAATGAATGACATTGATAAAACAGCAGTAAAGTAAAAGTTTATCAACATTATTATTAGTCAGTATAAGCTTTGGCGCATCGGTTAATCGATCAATAAGTCAGTCAGTTACTACGTGGAACTTCGTACATCAGTTCGGGTTGCCATACCACATCAGCACAGAGACGCAACTGTCAGTTCAAATCCAAGAGTGATAGCGATAATTGAAGTATTAGCAGTAATCGGAGAAGATTAGGATTTGAAGATGTTATTCATGAAGTATAATTTAGTGAGATAACTATAGAAACAGAAAGATAGAGATGATGAGGAATTCAGAAGAGATTAGAATTTCGACAGAACATAATGAATGAATGCACCTGTGTCACTGCAAACAATTTTGAGCCAGTTCGTTCAAGGTCTTTTACCATCGGTGACAATTGTCTCGCGGACACCAACTAGGCAGGTAGGTATGTAGTCTACATCGACCAACATGACTCAGTCTAGTTGTCAATGTGTTCATCGACTTTTTTTTGCATACGCATATACGGCTAGATCGAACTCAATAATTAAACTGTATGAATAATACAAAAGTAACAAATTCAGTTGAAGAAAAAACTCTTCACTCCTGCGGGGTGCAGGAGTCTTGGGTGCACACTGCTGAGGAGTCCCATACCAGGACGAAACGGCCGTCCAGTGCTTCTAGGTTTCTAATGGTGGTCTAACAATGATCGATTCATGGTTTCAAAAAAAATTTTCACTTATTAGTATGAATAAATCTTTGTACCAATCGTGATGTGTATAGTTTTTCCATAGTTTTTGTATAAAAGTCGAAAAAAAGTAAAAAGAATATCAAACAGTACTTTCCTTCATGTGTTGAAGACGAAATACAACTAAAAAATCGATCGACTCAAACGGTCTAATCATAATCATAATAATAATCCTAAAAACAGACACACATACCCAAGTACGTACGCACTCATGCATGCATTCATATACACACACACACACACACACACACACACACACCAAGTCACTTTGAATATGCATAGACGTACACACACCCACACAGAGCTACATATTGATATGTCAGTTAACATTCGATCAATGAAAAAAAAATCGATAAACTCAATTGAACCAGATGACTAATGGACAGAAATAATAATAATAATAATAATAATAATAATAATAATAGTATAGTTTCATTGCAATCAACTACAACGCAGAATGTTGTATGTACGTGTCTCTATGTTCTAGGACTTGACGTAGTGTGAATATCTGGTCCATACAGCTAGGTCCAGATCGAAAACCAGCCTAGTTTTCTCTAGTCTGCTCTTCACGAGCACAAGTTACGCGTCTAAGTATAATGGAGACTTATAATTTAGAAACTATATTAGTTAGAATTATTCCCCTGTGATTGTCACAAGAGGACTTTTGTCCTTTCTTGTAGATTGGGACAATTAGCGACTGAGACCAGTCAGATGGGATTACGTCCATTTCCCAGATTCTACCTAAGATCTCGGTCAACCCAGTTGCATAGGTGAACAGACATATGTGAAGATTCTTGAGATTATAAATCGACTATTGTTAGGTCGCCATTAAAAAAATAGACGGTTGAAGCACGGGATGAACGTTTCGTCCTGGATTGAGACTCATCAGTGGCGGTGAGTTAGGCACACTAGTATTTCGCTACGTGAGGAAATTCTCGGAGTTCTAATAAGAAGACGTGATCAGTTGAATTCAACCTTGTTGAGTGTTGGGCAGTTACCTACAACGGATGAGGTTGCACAATACCTTGGATTGATTCAAGTTAGATATTAACATAGTTGGGTACCAGGTCAATGATCTAGAAGTCAATAGTTCGCGAGCGCGAGACTGAAACTCTTGGATTCGATTCCTGCGATCGAGAGTCGTGCATGCACACTGCTCATGTAGTCCATAACTAGGATGAAACAGCCATTCACTGCTACCAAGTTTCTAATAGTAATCTAACAATGATTGATTTATGATTTCAATGAGAATAATACTGCTACGTATAATATTATACATGACGCAGTTAAAACTTGCTTGACACAACATTATCACATAATATTCTGCTTTCTTGTAGGAGAAAATAAAATACCCGACTTTAATGGTTAGAAACATTTAGATTTGCTTTAAAAATGATTATTTCAGTAAGTGAGTGAGTATTTCTGATTAGATCTATCACTTGTTGACATTCTACAATTCATTGAAACTTATATTTCTCTTTC